TAGAAACTTTAAGTGCACAACAAAATGTATTTAACGGCTAAAAATGTGGATTCTGCATTAAATGTCTCCTTTAGCTTCCCGCTGAGGCGAATGAACAATAATCTGTGTGGCTGATTTTCACTTTCTGAGTGTCTGAGCTTTTTGTTGTGAAATGAGACATATTTAGCAGACCTAAGAGAGCAGCCGATTCCCTCTTCTATTCCCTAGTTAAGTTAAATTGCTCAAGCCTTAGTTCATGTCCATGAAAACCTGATCAAAGGGTCGAAAACACTCCAGAAACAGAAAGCTAAATCCATGCCCTTCACTGTGAGCCATTAGGGGATTTTCCTCGCTGCTCCCGGTTGGTGTGGGACTCAAAGTGGCAACCGTCTCTAACCTCAAAGCCAGAGTGGCCTCTAAGCTTCTGAGGCTTTGCTTTGATACAAGAAGCCATGGAACAAATGTGCCTTTTATTCAAAAGTACTTTTGAAATGGAGCAAGCAGTCATTACACGTCCAGGAAGAATTAACACACACACACACACACACACTCGCAAACATGTTTAAGAGACAATTTCATGTTCGTTATTTTCACTCTTTTATCTCTGTCCTTCAGTCTGACAGTTAAAAATAGGATGATGGAGACACCCAGAGAAAAATATTATGCTAATTATAGKCCAACTTGGAAATATTTCATTCTCTGCCCTCTGTCTTTGCTCCTTTCTTCTTCTCTCTGTCAGGTTGAAAGTTTCTCCTTCTTCGCAGTCAGCTCAAATTGTGAAACTTTGACAYGTGGGGTGAAAATTCTGGGCAAAAACCTTGACTTTTCATGTTTTTGTCCCCGTTATCCGTCAGTACAGTATTCAGTCAGTATCAGTGCTTTTTTTAGCCCGAGCATCTTTATCTTTCATCTGTCCTCAGATTCACTCTTTATAACCCCMCATCTGCTTATCTTCATCCTCTGCTGTTTTTCATTTAATTCAGCTGAAATCAATAGAGTCTGTCTAGGAGGATATAATTAAATCAATCAGACAAATGAACCGTTCAAGTAGATTCTGCAAGAAGCCATGAGGGGAATTATTAAAAACATACATAAAAGCTTTATTAAAAGGAGGTTAGATAAACTGTAAAGTAGATTTCAACCAAAATCAAAGCGTCTTACATAAGACTTCAAGGCACTGACACGAGTTCTGAGGTCTAGTATAAAATGTAATAAACTTCAGGAATAAAAGTATGAAAAAATAGAAACTATGAAGTCATTCTTTATCAAATTTCCAGCAGACAAAGTAGACTTTTTGAATTCTTAAGCAGTATACTTTATATTAAAACATTTTAAATATCACTATAATTAGTTTTCAGACATACAATCCTGAATATGAAGATGTAACTGTCCTGTGCGCACGTGATCAGCGACTGTTGTATATTAAAACAGTCAGGTTCTGATTATTTGCTTTGAAACAACCTAAAAATGCTGCAGTTTTTTATAATTTTATTTTATTAATAAGCTAACATTGCAAATAGTGCTGGGCGGTATACTGTTTTGTACCGAATACTGG